CACAGAGTCGGTGGGAACCTGTGTAGATGAGATCTTCTCAGTGGTTGCAGCAGAGATGCTGTGAGTCAGCAGGACGCCCATCTGGTTGCAATATTTCCAATGTTTTGTTGAATGAATGAGGCCTGCTGTCTCAACAGACTTGTGACCTTCTGGTCTGTGCGCCAGTTTCAATGTCACAAAAAAAAACTGGTCACGTTCAACTGATGGGTCAATGGACCAATTCTGATACAGTCTGTAATAATAATAAAGTTCAACTCATCAATTGTTTATTGATACTGAAACACTTCCATTCTTTTCAGCTCTGTCTGACACATGGAGAAATTCATCACTGTACACCTTGTTCTCTCTTATTGAATTTTAGCTACAACTGCAGAGCTCAGTAACTTCGGAGACCAGGGTTGAAACTTTCTGATGAAAGGTCATAGACTTAAAACATTAATTCATTTTCCTCTCTTCATGGATGCTGCTTGATCTGCTGCGTGTTCCCAGCGACTTCTTATTTATACCAGATTTCCAGCATCTGCAGTACTTTGCCTTTTGAAACTTTATGACTTGTATGGCTCGGTGCTGATTTACTGTTATAAAATTGCCTACTGACTACAATCAGTAACTTTAACATTACATCATGTGAAATGCTTCCAGATCTCCCTCTGATGTGAGGTGCTTTATCAAATACAAAGTTTTTTTTTATATGAGTATGAGTTTGAGGAGCTTTACATCGTGTACCCAAACTCCTGTTATTCCCCATGTGTTTTTTCTCTCTCTCTCTACAGTGTACTGTCTAACAACTGAACAACTGAATGATGATAGTTGCATTTAGATGTATTTAATTGTATTCAATACAAGTGTTTAACTGTATTTAGATGTCCAGAGGATCAGTGTGTGTGAGTGCGTGTCATTTTCATGGTAGCTAATGATCTGTCACCGTGCAACATCTTCTGTAACATGGATGGAGTGACGAGGCCAAATGCATCTCCGACAACTTGTTTCAGCTCCTCCGTAGTCTCATATCGCTGTTATGTAACAGGGGGTAACAGGACTTTGCGGATACCCTGGATACTAGAAAGACTAAAATCAGACGACAGTGGAATTTCATTCACCTAGTTGGAATATTTTATCAAATAAAATAACACTAACATATCAAATTCCACTTACAGAACAGCTGGCATTTTGTTACTACAATAATAAGGCACGATTTGAAATGTATCTCAGTCACAGCACTGCTTGGATTATTATGATCCTTTGCTTTTTATGTAGTGACTATATGACTAATACATCTCAAAATGCTTCACAGGGAATTGCTATTTGTAAATAATAACTATTTGTAGATATATGCAGCCATTTTCGCACGGGAAGCCACTGAAATGGCCATCAAATGAATGTGCAGCTTCTCTGGAGGATTTTTGTCCAGGATATGCTATACTGGAAGATTTTTTTGTCCTATATATAATGAAAAGGAATACTACAGAGACAGAGGGACAGTATTTACAAATGCTAATTTATGTTGACACAGATCTAAAAGCATCTTGAGATATAGTTAACCAAGTACTATATTCACAAGTGCAATAGATATCATTATACAATGTGGTCTTTAAGGGGGAGTGCAGACTTTCTCTCTCTCCCCACCCCCCATTTATTTAAAGGCACTGCCCACACCGTGCAGCTGATCATTGGCTGCCACATTTCGCCCACAAATATACAGTTAATTCACCTTACAGTCTGTGAAGTGCTTTGAGACGTCGAGAAGATGTGTTGTTATTGTTTTAAGAACCAACCTCTCTGTTCTTTTGCCATTCCCTACCTCTTCTGTGTTTTATGCTGACAAGTCAATTTGATTCAGATAATGACATTCTTGCTCCAGGTGATGTGAGTCTATTGTTTTTTCTCTACCGCTGAGGTCTACTGGTCCTACGGCTTGGAAGAGCCCAGCATTCACTGCTGGTCACAGTTAGTTGGTTGACTATTCTGATGGCCTAATGAGTAAACATCCTACTGAAGTATTAAGGTACGTAGATCAAAGGTTTGAATGCTTATTTGGTTGATATTAACCAGGGCAGCAGTCTGGGAATTACAATTGACCCCAGTATCCCAGAGGAGAAATCACTCAAGGTTTCTGCTTGAAGTTGTTGTCTACTGATCCCTACTGGAACATTCCTGCATGTGGACAGGATTGATTGTCTTCTTCCGCCCAATTCTCAACATGTACAGAATCCTTCCTGGGCTCAATGCCAATTAGAAAAGGTACAGGAAGGTGCCCTGTGGAACATAAAACCCCAGCTCCCTGAGTGGAACAGATGGTTGGGGAAGGTTTATTCAAACCAAATCTTAAATGTTCATCTGAGCTGTGAGCAAATGATTAGACAAACTAACAAGATTCTTTCAACTTGAGAGAAATTGTCTCAATAGGGATCTTATAGTTGTACAAGACTTTTAAATGGGATTAAAAAAATAAACCCAGAAAGTAAACTTTAGGAGACAGTAGAACAAGAGGAGATAGATTTAGAGTTGCAAAAGGGCAATTTCAGGGTGAACTCAAGTCAGTTATTTTTTCTTTATCCAATGGAACTGGAACAGGTTGCCAGGAAGGGTTATGTGGAGTCCTGCAGTTGTGGTTAGAGCACTCGCTTCAGTTCAGTTCTCAGCAGGGCGAAATGTTGAGCAAGTTTCCTTACTCCACACACCTCTGCTTACCTAAGTAGTAAATGGGAACCCAGTTGTTAGTCGATTGGCAGATCACTTTTCTGGGGGTAATAAATCCTTAAAAAAAAATTGGTCACTCAACCCACGACTGTTTGCGGGACGCTGCTGTGTGCAATTGGCTGCCACAAAATATACAGTCAATTCACTTTACATTATATTCTGTGAAGCACTTTGAGACGTCTCGATCAGGCGCTATACCACATGCAAGGATTATTATTATTCCCCACCTCCACATCACCTCTCCCTCATGACACATCCCCCCCATACTCATTCAACCCTACCTCTCCCTCCTCTCTCACTATGACTGTCTGCAAATCCAAATCCACCACCTGCTCCCTCGATCCCATCCCCACCTTTCTCCTCGTTTCCCAGCTCCACCTTCTGGTCCTTCTCCTGTCCGATGTCATTAACCTCTCCTTATCCACCGGTTCAGTTCCCACCTCCCTAAAAACAGCCGTCATCACCCCCATCTTGAAAAAACCTTCCCTGGATCCATCCCTCTTCTCCAGCTACAATCCCATCTCTAACCACCCATTCCTCTCCAAGGTCCTGGAATTAGTCGTCGCGTCCCAGCTCCACTCCTTTCTCTCTCGCCATTTCCTTTTTGAACCCCTCCAATCTGGCTTCCGCGCTGCCCACAGCACGGAAACAGCCCTGGGAGTCACAGTCACTAATGACATTCTGAACATCTGTGATCAGGGCTCCCTCTGTCTCCTTGTCCTCCTTGACCTCTCTGCCGCCTTCGACACTGTCGACCACTCAATCTCATACACCGCCTCTCTGCTTTACTCAATCTTCACGGACCTGCCTTTGCCTGGTTCGATTCCTGTTTCTCTCACTGTTTCCACTTGTTGCCTCTAATGGTTTCTCCTCCAGCCCCCGCACTGTCACATCTGGCGTCCCCCAGGGCTCTGTCCTTGGCCCTCTCCTCTTTAATATCTACTCGCTCCCTCTGGGACATGGGGTCAACTTCCACATGTATGCGGATGACACTCAACTCTATATTTCTGCCTCCACCCTCAACTCCAGGAACACTGCTGTCCTGACAGACTGCCTGTCAGACATCAAGTCCGGGATGAGGGCAAATTTCCTACAGTTGAATGTGAAGACTGAGGCTCCTGATTGGCTCGCGCCAGTGCCTGGGTCTTTTCTCCCCACATCCAAGCCATGACCCACTCTGCCTTCCCTCATCTCCGTAACATCACCCGACTCCGCCACTACCTCACCCCTCAGGCCGCTGAAACTCTTGTTCATGCCTTCATCACCTTGAGGCTCGACTATGGAAACTCCCTGCTTGTCGGCCTTCCCAACTCTTCCCTCCACAGCTGCAGATAATCCAGAACTCTGCAGCCTGTGACCTCTCCCGCACCAAACTCTGTGACCCCATCTCCCCCTTTCTCACCCGACTCCATTCAGAGGATCCAGATCCTGGTCCTCACCTACAAAGTCCTGCATGGCCTCGCCCCACCCTACCTCTGTGACCTCTTAAATCCTACCAACCCGCCCGCTCCCTCCGCTCAGCCGCTCTGGCTGCTCCACATCCCCCAACCCACCCGCCCCACCATTGGCGGGAGAGCCTTCAGCCACTCTGCCCCCAACCTCTGGAATTCCGTCCCCCAGTCACTCCGCGTCGCCCCCTCCTTAGCCTCCTTCAAGTCCCACCTCAAGACCCTCCTCTTCGACCGCGCCATCAGCCACCCCCCCCTTCCCCTCCCCTCCCCCCCTGACCTCCGCTCGGGTCTGAAATGCTGTCACTGTCAGCGCATTGGGACGTCCTCCCGACATGAAAGGCGCTGCACACGTGTAATCTCGTTGTCGCTATATGGTTGAGTCCAGGACTCGTTTAAGAAACAACTCGATGCCGGAAGGAATGCTATTAAATGGGCAGAAGAACCTCATCATCCCGACCCCGGGTGACCCCGGGCCCCATTCATAAAAATAAGGGCTGAGGGTACCCGGAAACTGGTGACGCAGCAGAGGCGTGATGACGCAATGCGGGAGCGGGGCGGTGACGCGGAGCGCAGGGAGCGGTGACGCGAAACGTAGGGATCGGTGACGCGGGCGGGAGCTGTGCTGTGCTGCCGGCGGACGTCGGCGACTCTTCAGTCGGAGCGAAGAAGAGCAGCAGCGCAGGGAGCGGGGCCCCGGGGGAGGCTGTGCCGCTCGAGCCGTCCGTCGGTCCACGACCCCAGTGTTGGGGGGTGGGTGAGGGTCAGAATCCCGCGGGGGGAGAGGTGCGGGGTTCAGTTATTTGGGTTTGAATCCGGCGTCGGAGAGGAGGAGGAGGAGGAGGTGGCGGTGGGGGGGGGGCGCTGGGGGGGGAGCTGAATGGAACCGGACGGCGCGGCGACCGAGGCCGGAGGCGAGAGCGAAGTGGCGGCGGCGGTGGCGGTGGCTGAAGCGGCGGCCGATGAGGAGGAGGAGGAGGAGGAAGAGGAAGGGGTGGAGGACGCGAGTCCAACGGGTGAGACCCTCTTTTTTTCTACCTTTTACCGACCACCGTCAGCCCCGCCCGGGGTCCCGGGCCCGGGGGAGGGGAGGGGAGGGGAGGGGCGCTGAGGCAGCTGTTTACCCGCCTCCCCTTTCAAAGGGGGGAATCAGGTGCTTTGCCACATAGTGAGCTGCGTTATACCCCCCAACCCCCCCCCCCCCGCTCCCACCCGCCTGATGGGGCCTCGCGCCTGCGCAGATTGGGCTGTTTGGCTGCTAAATAGTGCACCTGAACCACAGATGTTTTGGACTCAGAGTTGTCCCCATCCCTGTCCTCTGGTCGGTTCTTCTGTCATCATCATCATCATCATCACAACAATAATAAACCTTGCATTTTGATATAGCGCCTTATTACGTCTTTGAAATGTCTCAAAAGCACTTCACAGGATATACTGTAGTAAAGTGTAGTGACTGTATTTTGTGGGCGAAATGCGGCAGCCAGTTGTGCACAGCAATAATAATAATAATAATCCTTGCATTTGATACAGCGCTTTTCACGTCTTCTAGACCCGCAAACGGTTGTGGTGACCAAAGTTAAAATGTCTCCTTACCGTCATCCATCATTCCAATAATGACAAATTGTGTTGATAAGGCGCCTTTCATGTCGGGAGGATGTCCCCGAGGCACTGGACAGTTGAGGGTTTGCACCTTTACAGAAGCTGTTGGTGTATTTGTTGGGACCAAGCTGTGACTTGCTTTGTGCCAACTTTATACCGAAATCAATTGCTGTCAGAATTGGCAATCACATTTTGCGAGACAAATCTTTGAAATTTATTTTTGCCCTCTCAGAAATTTCAATATGTTTCTGTTTGTCAAAAAAAATATGGAATGAGTCAGAGATCATTGTGGTATCTTGTAAAGTTTGGGATAATTAAATTATACAACGCAGGCTGCTTTGTCTCTGAAAGTGTAAATGCAATCTTCGGTTTCACAGTATGTTTTCACTCAATGGGAAAAATAGGTAACTGATTATAATATCTATTTGGATATTACTGTAGAATTTCCAAGTTTTACAACACTAACGAAATCAAATGTGCATGTTTGATTAAAGCAAAGGTGGATTTCTTGTCCATAAATAGTAGTAAAATAGGCTGACAAGATTGCCTTATTAACCCAATTTCAAGCTTTATCCATCAGCCTATTTAAAATGTTGTCATGACAGTGCTAACAAAATTTAAAGAGTATATTGAATCTGTTCCAAAACAATATGGAGTCTGCTGATAAGTGAACCTTTGTGGTAAGAAGTATAATTAGTAAAAGCAATCAAAATTAGGTAATGTTCCTTAATAGGAACAATATAAAAGGGCACGGGGAAAAAAGGGTAGGAAATTGGGATTTGATTTCCAGGGGAGCAGATAGCACCAATCTGGGTTTCACAGGCTTAATGGCTTTCTTCTGTGCTGTGCGTTTTATGATTCTGGTTTATTTGGATAGTGGAGTCGTTATCTCGTATTTAACAGTTATGTCGGGTGCTTTTGTAGATGGAAACCTAGGTAGCTTTGTGGTGCAGTCCTTCACATCGAGTGGCTTTGCTCTTCACGCATGTGATAATCTGGTTATTGGAAAAATAAGAGGTTAAGTGTCGTGTGGAGGGATCTACATAAGAAGGCAGCAGGGCAAAGCTTTTTTAAAAAAAATAGTATTTTCAGGAATTTAATGTCTGTTTACTGATCAACAAGGTGTTATGTTAAGATGAATTCTAATTCAGCTGCTGCAAAATATGTCATCAGTTTTGGGTTGGATACAAGCCGAGTTAGAAGAAACCGTTTTCCTTGGATTACATGAGCTTTGAATTTGTGCCAAGAATGGAGCGCTTTCAATTCAAGCTGACTCTTTACTGTAACTGAACTTACTGCTTGCTCCATTTCATTAAAACAGTTAATAATGTTCAGTCAGCTGATTGCTAGCTATAGCGAACCATTGTGGCTTGAGAAACGTTTAGGCCTGAAGTGAATGTATGTTGAGGATGAGTGTACGGGCCACACCCATTGACTTCCTATTAATTTCCTTCTTCAGATTTCTTAGACACATTCTTTTTATCCTGCCATTGCCTAATTGCATCAGCTTAAGTATTGTACGGTAAATACTTGGCAAGTAAATTGGTTTGGGGCTGAGACGGTGGGCTGAAGGAACACCTGATGTACAGAAACTCTCCATTTCTATGAGTGAGTGTTTGACATTTTCTTTTCGGGAAAGAAAACATTTTGATGCATCTACAAAGTATTGGATCTTCCTATGTTACTAATTACAAGTAAAATAGGAATGAGTTTGCTGCTATTGTATGCGTTAGCAGGTCTCTATGGGGGTACATTTTGGAGGGCATTGTAGACTATAGGGCTTTATGTGCCACCTGTTCATTGATTAACATATATGATCTATTTGTACTCTGTATTTTAACTGTTTAGCTGTAGCAGTTAGAGGTTATTAGGTGTGACATTGAATTAGTTTGGTTTCATGAACAACCTAATGGAACTTAAATATTTTTGAAGTCTCCCCCCCGCCCAACTAAGAGATCCACTTCAGTTTATTTGAAGCTATTCCACTTTTTCCTTTCCATTTTTTTCAGTGTCTCAGAATGTGTGCTGAGGTCTGTTTTCTTCCACGATCATCCTGATTAAAACTTAGCTTTTAACTTGCTGGTATTCACCTAGTATTCCTTGTGTGTTATCAAAGGAAGCAAATTTCACTCATGGGGTCATTGTTTCATAATTGCCAGCATGTTGGAGTTGTTATGATCCGTATTGCCAAATGCCATTCTAGTATTTGCTAACCATTATGCTGTGGAGCTTGAGGCTATGACTCTGAAATATGTGGTTGCATTGTCAGATAAGCTGTATAATCAAACTGGCAGTATTGAGTAAACCCTCCCCCGCACCCCCACGACCCCGCCCCATCCCATGGCTGAAAAGAATGGCATTGTTTTGTTATACTCTGCATGAAGCAGTTGTGGGAGCTGTGAACAATGTAGCTTGAACAATGTGATGGGAACTGCAGTGCACGTGTTTACAAAACCGGAAAATGTTTCGCTTCAAAGATTGCGTGCGCTCAACTTCAAGCAGCTGTACGAATGTGCCAAGAATTCTGAGAATCTGTACTCTTTACCACGGTCAGTCTTATCCTGAGCAATGCAAGATCAATTGTTTGCATTGTCACTTCCTTGAGTTCCCTTACATCTCTTATCTTCATCAGTGCGTTGCTGGCTGTTTAGCCGAAAACTGCTACGAAAAAAATGAAAAGTGCCAACACAAAATACCTCACTAGAGAAGACTGCAAAATGCATCAAATATGTTTTTTTATAGCGAGTCTGCATTGTAAATTCAGTGTTAATGCAAACAAAATAATTCCTACAAGATTCACCTTGAATTCACTTCTTTAAGAGATGTTTCACTTCACAGGTGGTATTTCCAGCTTCACCAAGCTGCTGTCAGAGGAATAATAATCATTGCATTGAAAATAGTGCCTTTCATCTCAGGAGGACATTTCAAAGTGCTTCACAGGATTTAGTGTAATGCGTAGTGACAGTTTTGTAGCTGAGTGTGACAGCCAGTTTGCACACAGCAAGGCACCACATATTAGCATGAAATGATTGACCGTTTTTTCCCTCTAGATTGTTGGCTAGGACATAGGGAGAAGCTTCCTTCTCTATTCTCAATTTGAATAGTGTCATAGGATCTTTAACATTAACAGGCAGACAGGACCTTGGTTTAATGCTCATCCAGGTCGTCACCTGCACAGGTTAGTGCTCCATCAAGCTACGTAGTTTTTGCTGATTAAATTCCAGCAGTACCCCAATGTACTATTTGGAGTCCCCAAGCATGCCGTGTAGTGTAATGTCTAATAGGCTTCATGCTGTTTGTCTAGCTGGGAGTTCTTTTGTTAGTTCTTTTGCTAAGTGTTAATTGAGTGGGAAGAATCCCTTCTCTGATTGGCTTGTCTGTGCCTCCAAGGCTTCCCAATGAGCCAGGCTGAATGGTGTGTCATCAGCAGTGCCCTGGAATGTTAGACTAGAGTGTCAGCCTACATGGGCTTGAACCCATAACCTTCTGACGCAGGTGAGCATGCTACCAGGCTGACGCACAACTGTGCAAGACAGCTCTGGCTACTGAGAGGAGTAGAATCCAATCGCTTGACTTTGCATTTGGATAATTGTAAATGACAATTCTGATTAACCAATTAAATCACAGAAACCACAAGGAATTGTTTAAAGGCAGCTTAAGGTGTAGATCGATGCAGAAGCTACATCTCATTTAGTTTGTAGCATTGTGTTGTACGTTCTAAATGGAGCAGCTGTGCCAAGCTGGTAATGGATTTGGTTGTGTTTTATTGCTGCGACTCTGAGTCTAATAAGAATGAGCAGTAGCCTGACCGGGTCTGTCATTACAACAGACAGAAAAAGCTTTGCATTTTAGAGTCTTTAAAAAGAGCAGTGTACATTTTAAGCTTTATTTTGATTTTTTGGGGGGGATCAATGGTATGAAGATGTTTGTTAAGTCAGAACACCTTGATGAGCCCTCATGTTGTTTTAAAGCCAACTTTGTGTCCTTGAATTTGATTCTGAACCACGTTGAGACATATCAACCAGCAACATGTATTTACATAGCACTTTTCATATTGTTGTTTGTCTCAAAGTGCTTCAGAAGCAAATGCAAGGATTATTAGAACTATGACTTTCAGGGCTGAGTCTGATGCCAATTCCAGCACATCTGTTTGTTGAGAATACATGTGAAAGGCACAGCCCTGTTCTCTTGGTAAACTACAGTGAGAGGCCTTTTAGATTGGTGAGAGGGCTACACTATTTTATTTTGAATTTTGCTTTTAGGCTTAGTAGGTATAGTTTAGTTATAGTTTTTGTCTCTTTGCTCTCAAGTCTACTGCATTCCCTTTGCTTGCCATAATGACTTGTGATTGACTTGTCTGCAGTTGTGCCTGAGCCAAGCTCTGGAGCACCTGGTTGCTCCGTGGAATAGTTGGGAA